CCCTGCTTTCGTTTTCTCCGGGGAAACTACCAAGTGCAGTGCACGTTCTGGGGCATCCTGATCCCTATTCTTAACCCTCGTTCGGGCAGGGCTACAAGTCTTTTACCACCTTTGCACACTGACACTCAACCGCTTACCTTATAATAATTTGACTTTCCACTCTTGGCAGAATCTGACTTGCCAGATGGACACTTCATCGAGTGTACACGTTCTGGAAGGAAGGAAGTGTCTCTCGGGATGTGTCTGATGGAAAACAAAGATGTCCAGTGTATTAGTCTACGTTTCAATAGCACTTCATATTTGCAGAGGGCTTTATCATCATGTTTTATTAGCGATTGCCTACAACAACCCAGCGAGGGAGATGGCGGTGCTTTCACCGTGCAAACCGAATCGAGCGAGGCTCATGCAAGCTAATTTGCTCCAGCCCACACAGCAAGGATTGGACATTCCATACCCAACGTTGCTGTTTCCAGAGCGTCACTTGTTTCAGGTTGTCTGAGGTTGTAGCTCTGGTTACACACGTCCAAGCAGAAGTTGAGTAGCAACTTAAGGTGGCACTCCAAGAATCCACACTAAGTATAAATTTTGTGTGACATGTAAGAAATACGTCGTAATGGAGAGAACCTGAGTGGTTTGCCACTTTTTTCTTTGTTTTCATGATCTCACGTTTTTCTGGTTCTCCCAGGTGATCTCCAGTGATTCTTCTCTAATGCCCCCCTTCTCCACTGTACTGCCAACTGTGAACATGCCCGAGGGTCTGGCTCCTTTCTTATGCCACTACTCTCTCCAGCTTCAAATAACACCACAATATTAAAAAGTCCCAAATTACCAAATTGTTCTCTGTCTTCCAAATTCTGTCTTTTATTTATTTGTTGAGTCCACACATATTTCTCGTATCTATCACATGCGAAGGGCACAAGACAAACAGATGATTAAAACTCAGTGGTTTCTTTCTTATAGTTCACAAGCTATCAACACATGGCTACATAAAGAGAGTCCAATATTCCATGCTTTAATGTCATAATGATCTTGGCGTTAGTCGAGCCGAGAAGCATCTTGCCCTGCCTGGGGCTGGGGAGTTATGGAAGGAATCCTAGAGGAAGTAAATTTGTCCTTAATTCTCAGTCACATTTTATTATGCAGTCATTCATATATCTAGTGATTAGTAATTCAGAAGTTACTATGTATAAATCCAGAATGAGAATGCAAAACATTACATAAGACCCTTACCTGTGACCTCAAGGGTTTTACTTGGACATAGCTACAAAACCAGAAGGTTTTCCCATCATATTGATACTTGTCTTTATCTATCTAGTTAAACAATTTTTGTCCCTCATCTTCAATGTTTGTTTTTATTTTGTATGGTTCTAGTGGAAAACCAGATTTTAGAAAGATAATTTCTATAATGGAAAACTATGTGTCCACTGATTATTTACCATATAGCTGAAAGGAAATTTCAGAGCCTCTTTGAATTTATTTCCTTGTTTCCCAAATGGGAATTATTAATACTATTGATACAATAGGAATGCTTTGATCATTAAATTGTAGGGATGCTGTTATAAAAAGTACTTTTCAGATGTAGCCTGCCCACCATGTGAATAATGGTCAAATAATTTTTACATTTAAGTACTATAAATGTATCTTAAACTTTAATGTTATTTGCAAATCTATGAATAATAGTATGTTCGATCTCTTTCAAATAAGACAGATTATAAAATGTTTAATAATCTTGAGTCTATTTTCATCATATGCTCCAAATAACGTGAACAGTGTTAGTAATTGTTAAAAGGGCTTGAGAATCATAATTTTAATTTTATAAGAAATATTCTAGAAATTATCAAGTAATATCGTCCATTTTTGCAATAAGATAGTTGGGAGTTGAAGTGGTCTAATATATTTCCTAGGATCATAGAACTAATTAAACATAGATGTGGTATTAGAGCTCAGGTCTGCTGATTTCTCATGCATCACACTTTATTTGTTCAATTGGGTTAATTTCTTACTGGAGGCGAATTACTTAAGCTGTATTAGGCCAAGGCAAACAAGATCCCATCTGTGTGATATGTGATCCAAAGGGTTTCATTTCTCTGCTGTTCTGCTTTACTTAGCACCATGTTATACACGAGATGGAGTGGGAAACATGTTGGCACCAAGAATAAGGGACTCTTACAGGGCCGACTTGGAAACTTACATCCTGTTATGAAGTCCCAGAAGCTCAGATCACTTATTCCTAGGACTTAATTCACTGCCATCTCTGAGTCCTGCCCCCACCCCACCCTGACGCAAGACACAGCAAAGGCCTGTTTGAAATGATCCTCTGAATGGTCTTCCGAGAGAAGGAAGAGGTAGGCATTCATTCACCAGTTCCCATTCCACAATGGTCAAGGGTTGCAACACAGGGAGACAATTCACTCACACTTCCAGATTTGACGCCTGGTGGATGCAGATAGAGGAGCCACAGCGCAGGGCCAGGGGGGGCCCAGGGCAGAAGGTGACAGGTGTGAGGAGCAGCTGTAGTCCGTGTCAGCAGGCTACACTGATACCAAGCTGCTGCAGAAACCATGGCTGGAGTAGGGAGGGCCAGGAAGCAGTCAGACCTTACTCTGTATCTGTCATACATTCTTCCGTGCAAACACCAATAAAGTCCTTTCCACAGTCATGTAGTCTTTTATACAAACACTGATACAATGTTAATGAATCATACAAACACTAAAGTAGTACTTCCTATGCTTCGTATATTCTGCGTGTTTTCCACAAGTGAAGTCATTTAATCCTCCCAGTAACTCGTGAGGTAGGCGCTCGAATTCTGTCCATTTTGCAGATGATGAAATTGAGGCAGAGAAGTAAATTAAGGTACCTAAGCTCACACGTGTACTAAATGGTATAGCTGGAAGTTAAAACCAGGCAGTCTGGCTCCAAGGACGGTGCTCAGAAGATACTGTACTACACAGTGCTTGGGAGTTGAATTAAAGAGGAGAAATGCTTTGATTTCTCAGTTGGCATAGAAAGAGTAACTGTGCAAAACGTGCAGGACTCATTTTAACAAATGTGAGAAAGTTTAGTCTAATAATTCAGATCATGAATTTGGGGTCAGACGGATTAGTTAGTTCACTTTCTCATCCTCTTTCTCGTTACCTTGCATGAGCCACTTATCCTTTCTAAGTCTCAGTTCTTCCATCTGTATAATGGATTGTATTTATTTCACAGGGTTGTTATGGAAAATGTTTTTAAAGGGCCTGGAGTCCTCCGTCAGTCCTTAAGAAATAAATAGTATTTTAATATTGTATATTTGTATAGGACTTCTATGATTTCACATACCTCTTCTGCTTTTGAAAGGCCTCTTTAAAGAAATGGGAAAATGCTGGCAGCATATTTATATATTTGCCTTTCAGTTGAAATTTTTAAAAATGTTCTTCATGTCCTTGGCCAACATAAAAAGCAAACAGCCCTAAGGCTGAACATGACTGGGTTCTCTCAGAAGAGAACTTCAGGGGCCGCAGCATGTATGGAGTCCTGGAGGCCACAGATCTGGGTTACAGTCCCAGCCCCATGATTACTAATGAGGGTAATAATAATAATGCTTCTTTAGCAGTGTTGCCCTGACCATCAAGAGATAGACAGCGAGGTCATAGTAAGTTACAACATGTAGAAAGCTGATAAACACCATAAGCATTATCAAAAATCCACAAAAAGATCATTTTTATTAACTGTAACACCTCTATAATTCTTTTTTTAAATTACTTGGCTACATATCTAGCCATAGAACAACATTTTTGTGCTCTTTAATAGAGAAAATAGAAAGACAGCTTAGCTTTTGCTCTGTTGAATCTGATCAATAAAACATGCAACTTCCCTCACAAACATTAGCTTTTTATAGTACTTTTCAGGATTGTGCCCTTACAGACACAGAACTATAATAAATTTCACTTTTGTGATTTACATCAAGATGAAAACATACTGTACATTTAAAATTATCCATACCACATCTTTAAGTATGTTTTGACAGAAGAGAACTTCCATTTTCTCTAGCCTTTCGTGGAAACTAGATCCTCTGCTTGAAATTTTACATATTTAAAATATGGTGGAATTTTCCAAAATTAGCTCCTGTCTCATATATTTCAAGCTTGTCGCGTCCTTCCCGTTAGCCCTATAATTCTAGTTCTGGATGCCACAGGGCTCATTAATATTGAAGGTAAAAGCGTGGGGCTCTAGAATCAGACTGCGGATTTCTTTCCCAACTCCACCACGTACTAGTTGTGTGTTGGGGGAAGAGTTATGCAATCTCTCTGAGCCATAGTTTCTCATTTATAAAATGAAGGGGATCATAGCAACCTATAAACAGTAATGGTAGAGTAGTAGCTGTTAGTACTCTTCCCACCATCATTGTTATTGTATAGTTGACTCAATATTTATATTTGTTAATAGTAATAATATATAAATCATCTGATGGAATAGTTGATAATGTAAATAGTAGTATAACACACATATTATATTTTATATACCAATAATATATATTATTGGTATTTTTAATATGTACTAATATTAGTGTTACTTATTAGTATTATTATTTATATATAATGAAATATTGATATTAGTAATGTGTGTTGGTAAACATGTATATTATTGCTATCAGTAAAGTTGGACAAATCTTACGTATATTTGTTCTTGACCATATTTTTAGGTTTTGCAAATCCAGTTTTTATCCCATCTACTGGATGTTGATGTTATAATTGTAATTGTGTTGAAAATATTGTTAATCCACAAGGTTGTTTGATAACATTTTTCATAAAGAATGACTACCCTTTACTTTAGCAAATATGTGATCCTATCGACACACTGTGAGGTGTGAGTGTGCTGGCCACCGACCTACCCAAGGATGCACACAGGTGTCTTATGTGGTTGGTTTCTGCTTCTGCTAACAAATCATGAAGTTATGTCATGACTTGCTCGCCAGGAATACGTAAGTCCAATCACATGATTGTTGTCTCTGTCTCTGATAGAAAGAGAAGTATCCAGGATTCTGAACCCCCAGACCTTTTGCCAGCTCCCAGGTGTGGCCACCACCTCAGGATGGTGTGATACATCAAGGTATGATACCCAGAGCACAGGAACGCACATGTGACCGAAACACAAGCGTCTCACAAAACAGTGAGAGGGACAAACATACAAATCAGTACCAAGTGTCTCCGGTAGAAGGAAACTCCAGAATTGCAGGGTCTACTCACCCCACAGAGTGGCTAAGAGACTAGTCCTTAAGTACAAATGTGTCCAAACCCTATGCCACTTACTGATTCCACAAATTTGGGTAGGTCATCTAGTATCCTTTGTACCTAGTTTCCTTTTCTAACTAATGGATATAATAATATCTAACACAAAGAATTGGCGTGGGATAATTAGATAATGTATCTAAAACAATATAATGGAGACTCAAGTGATAAATTATTTTCATTGTCAGGAGACAATAAAAGTAGAGCCGAAAAGAGGAGTTTAAATCGATGATTATAATCGCTAACATCCCTGTTACAGTATTTGGCAGCATCCCTGGTCTCCATCCACTAGATGCCAGTAGTACCCCCACTCCCAGCTGTAATAACCGGAAATATCTCTGGGCATTGCCACATGTCCCCGAGGAGATTAAATCACCCCTGTGGAGAACTACTGCTGCAGAGAGCCATCACCTAGATGTAGATGGAGTCTTGGCTTCTAGGTATATGCGTTCATAGCTCTCTGTCACACTAAACAGTTAATATAGTCCCCAGCTTCCGTGCTTGAAGCTTGGGAAGTTGTAATTTTGCAATCCAAATTGCTAGCATAATGCAGGGTGTCCTAAACTTTGACTCCCACTTAAGAAGTAGAGTTTTGCAGGTGGTTGTCTCCATGGGGTGTTCAGGGGCTTTGTCACTGTCATCTAAAGCTGGAGCCTGTCTTTGGGACACCTTCTGGCTGAGTGCCTCCGTAATGTTTTCAAGCTGTTGTGTACACCAGGCCAACGCATTCAAGTCAGAAAGAGAGCCCTCTGGGGAGCTGGAATTAGGTCTCCAGATCTCAGAGGGAGCTCTCTGCCAAAGGAGTCACAACTGAAGCTTCTCTTGGCCTCTGGTGTGGCAGAACTTGCAAATGTTACTAAAACATATATTCTGGGGTCCAGAGGAAGGTGAAAATGAGATCTTTGTCATAAAAAGTTACCAATGGATCAACTTGGGCCTTTTCAAATTGGCTCTGTTACATAGACACAGCCTGTCAGACACTTGTTTTTTTAAGGAAAACAAAAAACTATATAGCCTAAAAATCTGATATTAGCTCACACTCCATCATAAATTTGGCCTTTTGTGAAAGAATTTTGGAACTGGAAAGAAAGGGAGTGCATTATGTGGACTGCAGAGGTCCGCTTCCTGTGGAATGGTGGTCAGTGTCAGCGGGAAGCTAAGGATTTATTTCTTGCCAAGTATTTGCTGAAGAAAACATTTTAGTGTTAAATGGAACTCAGGTGATGCTAATGGTAGGACTTGCTGTGTGATCTTGGGAATGGCTCCTCCCTCTCTGAATCACACTTTCCTCACTTGCAGTTTAAAGGAGTCTAATTAGATAACATCCGATGTCCTTCTCAGCAAAAGAGTTTGGGAATAGTATGGCAGGAACCTGGATTTTCCCAACCCTGGCCGTTTGTGCCTTCTCTTGAAAGATAATGGAATCCTCAGTAAATCATCCTCAGTGAAGAGATTTAGTCCACATTTCCAAGGACCTCATAGATTTGTTCTTGTACATCATTACTTTAAAGGAGGGTTTCTGAGAACAAGTGAGAAGGCTTATAATCGAGATATTTCCATAACTCACCTCAGAGAGCTTCACAGCGAACACTTTGATGGTATTTTTGGTGCTGGGAGGGCTCCTTTTGCTCAAAGTAGGGATGATTCCCTGTCCTCGTGGAACGTATGGCCTGGGGATTAAGAAAATATTGAACCAAAAAACCTACAAGTTCCATGAGTCCTCTGAGCGAGAAAATGCATTTAGAGTCAGAGATAATCTGGTTTTCTTGAGCTGTAGTTATTTTTCTCTGTGTTTTTTTTTCCCCCTCTGCCCTGAAAAGTAAGTTAGAGGTGATTTGTGGCATTAGAGAGAAGAAACTGCCGTTAAGTTTTGAAATCAAATATCATTGAATGCAGTACTAGCCATTACTCTTGCTTCCTGTTTGATCTTGAGCTTCAGTTTTCTTCATTTGCAAAATAGGAACAGTATTTTCTCTAGGGCTATTGTGAAAATTAGATTTAATATAAATGCCTGGCACATAAAATTTGTACTATTATGTATAGTCTCAGAATCATTGGACAAATGAGAAGCCAATAGTTAATGGTCACTCACCATTTTAGACAGAAGAAACTCTCAAGACTGTTGGAGAAGATTGGGTTCATGTAATTTGCAAAACCCAAGCAATACAGGCTTCCACAATGCCAAATACTTGTAAAGCTTAGAATTATGTAGAATTATATGGAGAGCTGAATTTCAATGTTTTCATGCAGATGTTTGACGTTCTATAGATACAATCAAAGAACAGTTGGAGTGTTTGCTTTTCATCATCATGTATCCTTTAAGATCAGTCATTCCACATCTAAATTCTCCAGGACGAGCAGGATAATGATGACAAAAAGCATCTGAATCTACTGTTTTCTGTAGCAGAGTTTTGGATCCAGCACTCGTTGTTCAATGACACAGTTGAAGAGATATGAAAAGTATACAATTTGACCTTGCATATTTCCAGAACTCCATTTTTACACTCATTCATTCATTCAAAACAATTTGTTGAGTTCCTGCTATATGCCTAAGATAGTGCTAGCACTAGGGAAAGCATAGTCCTTGACCTTAAAGGACGGTTGTCTAGTGAATAGACAGATATTAATTAAATCATCACATAAACATAAAAGTGCAACCAAGATAAGGTCTTTAATGGAGAGAACCATGGTACTATGAGTACACATAATGAAGATTTGACTTTTCAATTATTTTGCTGAGGAAATGGAATTGCCATCTGGGGGAAGATAAAAGAAAATTGAGTCAGTTGAAGTGAAGAGGATTCAAGGCAGATAGAACAGGATGTGTTAAGACCCAGTGCTATGGGTGAGTATGGAAAGTATATAAAACTAAAGGAAATCTTCGTGGCTAGGGAGGCTCAGTGAGAGAAGGAGAGATAGCACTTGTTTTTCAAGAATTAAGCAGTGGCTGCCCAAATCATATATAACTGCTTTAGTTTTAGCAACAGCCAACTCTTTCCCATTATCCTAAGAAAACTGGAAAGACATGTGACAGTTATAAGGCAAAGAAGATGATTGATCAGGTTTATGCTTGGAAAGGTCACTTTGGCTGGGAGGTGAGGAATAGATTTTGGAGGGAGGTAGACAGAGGATGCAGTGAAACCTGTTAGGGTCCTGCTACTGGAGTTTATGTAGAGGATAATCATAATTCAGAATCCCGTTTTGTTTGAGATAGAGAAGAAAAATGCAAATAGAGAAGAGACACATGAGATGTAAAACCCACTGGACTGTGAGCATGGGATAAGTGAGAGGGGGCTGTGGATGATTTTTAGGCTTCTGATTTATGAAACCATATCTAGAATGAATCCTTTGTTGATCTAGGGACATGAGATAAGGAACAGGCTCCAGAGTATTAGAAAATCATAAATTAAGTTTGTAACGTAACTTTAGCAAGCCTTTGAATTACTGAAGAAGAGATATTCTGGATTGTGGAGAGAAGTTCACATCAAATTGAACGTTTTTCCATTATCACGACACCACAGAAAGTGTAGGACACTGGAAAAAGTGAGGCATGGTAGCCGTAGGAGGCAGGTAGAGGAGAGATGGGTGTTGGTGGCCAGCCAGTCAGCCTTACCTCCAGGCTCAGTGAGGAGCCAAGTGCTGAGCCTCACGAAGAGATTTGGATGATCTGGGCAGTTTCTGGGATGACCACTCAACCCTATTTGTGTCATCTCTCTCTCTTTTTCTCCCCTAGATTCATAATTTTAGCTTCTTTGCCCCTGGGACTGTAGGTCTCGTGGGTCATCTGGAGAGGGTGTTTGCAATGAGAGCCAGGAAGAATGTTCCACTCGAATCCAGAAGGGATACCTATAATGAATTTTTTTTTTCCCATTCAGAACCCAAAATCAAACACATGGCTCCTTTGAAGGCGAGAATAAAGTCAAGTAAAAATGGCATGTTGAAAGGAACGTATGCAGAAGAGGGAGTCTAGGAGAGGTTATTTTTTTCTTCCCTACATGGGAGATGACTTTATCCCAGTGTGAGGAGGAAAGCCAAGCCGAAAAGCATTACTTGAAAGTGCTATTTTTGGTGAAAGTTACAAAACCTAAATAATGTTGAATTACTAGATAATATTACCTCTCACTTGTTCACATTCTGTTTTCATTTGCTATATTTACTCTTACATGCATTTTGAGAAAAAAAATAAGTGTATTTGTGTGATAATCTTCTCCCCACTACCACCACCTGTTTTTTTCCTTCCCTGAAAATATGAACTACTACTTTTAGCAGGGAAGTAGCTCGTGAATTGGGTCCCAGGCAGGGAAGTGTAATATTAGAGGTTTGAGGTGCTTTAAGATGCAGATTCTCGGGCCTTAATTCTGAGAGATTCTAATTCATTAAATCTTCAGTAAGGCCAAGTGATCTGCATTTTAAAAAGTTTCCTAAAATAGAGCAATGCATACCACATTTTGAGAACAGAGGAAATGCTGAAGCAAAGGAAGAATTCTTCTGTTAAATGGTTTGCATGATACTTTAAATTGGCTTGCTTGACCTTTTCCATCCTTTGTTGGGTGTGTTTTTTCCCCCCATGTTCACAGGCTGCAAAATTGTGAGATGCTCCAGATGTGATTTAAGTTCTGCCAATTGGGTGCAGTGATTGGCAGTGAAACTGAATTCCAAATGGAAATATGGAGAAAGGCAGCAGGATTTGAGACACTCATTTTTGGCTTGTGCAATATAGTAGACACAGCATATCTCTGGAGATAATAATTCTAGAGATGGTTACTTGTCTTTTGATATAGAACGTTATTATCCAGAAGGTAGGCATTATTTCCAATTGTC